TAAAAATAAGTCGGATTTTACTTACATTTCATATAAAAAAAAAAAAAAAGTAAAATTTGTTGAGGAATTATTGCTATAACTGGTGTATAACATGGCCAAGTAAGTTATGTCACGTCGTAACTTTGATGATCGTTTTGAAGCTTTATTTGTTCGCTCATTACTGTAATTGTAAACGTTTTAGAAGTTGATGGTACGAATAATAAATTACAACAATACGTCAATTAATTACGTGATCGATTTTTTGAAGGAGAATGTTTTTGGAGTGAATAAAATTATGAGATTCGTGAACATAAATCTGGCTTAACGTTTTGAATGCGTTTCCTTCAACGTTTTACAAAACAATTAAATTGCAACAATAATGTATTTGTGTTTGTTTTTAGTCTGCAGCATTTGTATTTCGAGAATGTTTCAAACTCTTCTAAATTGTGAAACATAATGTGTTGATTCCATTAAAAAAAATATTTGCCCTGTGACTGAGCTCACTAATATTCATAATTGTAAATAAGTTCTGTTAATCAATGAAGGAAAGATATGTAAATGATATGCAAATTATTATGCAAATTAGCCCCGGCGCTATGCATTTTTTCTGGGGAGAACCCTGGTGTTGCTTACTGTACATGTTTCCCCTCTGTTGTATGTGTATACATTGTACAGAAAAAAACATTGAATCCACTTGTATTTAATTCTCTATTTTGTTCATATTATTTGTTCAGTTTTAAATTAGATTAGGCAGGCCAATTCAACTATAATATTATAATTATGTGAAAATAGTGAAATTAAAACTCAATAAATAAACATTTTGTGTGCATTACCTAATCCGACTCCAGTGTCATATACAGAGTGTGGTAGAATTTGAGCAGGATTCTATTAAACATCAGGGTTGCTAAATAATTGTATTTTTTTTGTTCCAGTATATCTTTGAAAGCTATAGATGCAGCTATTAGTTCTCGTCAATGGAACAAGGCTGTACAGATAGTAGAGTTGCAAGATCCGGCCGTAGCTTCACGATATTATCACAAGATAGCTAAACATTACTCTGGTATTAATGACTATGAGGTCAGTACAGTTAAAATCAGTTTCAAAGTCAAAAGATAAATTTTGAAATTTCTGTGAATTACTGTTTTAATGGCAAGTAAAATTTTCTCATATGATACAATGATGCTTGCCATTTTATCAATGTTCCTATATTTTGTGGCTTTTACTATTGGGACTATATACCAAACGCGGTCAACATTTGCACTTCTTCTGTGTTCATTTTCAATCTCATTCTCCTATGGGACTGTATATGTGTCATTATCACTGGTTCTAGAATTTGATAATTCAGTTATTGATTGCTTTAACCCCAAGCTCTGCTTCCAAACCCCCAAATACTACATCGGGGTGTCGTGTTGGAACCAGAAGGATTCCAGTTTGTTACAGACATTCACAGAATAAATTTTAATTCTGATTGGCACTGCCACTCAAAAACACTGATAGAATTGTTTTGTTCTTGCACTGTTTTATAATCACAAGCACACCCGCTCATAACCAAGAGATGAAGAATCATGGTTCACAACCTGAGTACATGTCATTTGAAGATGTCATTGTGGTGACCAAACAAAGAAAAGATCAGGGTTACACAAACTTCAATTCTGTTACATTTTAATGTTGCATACATGTACCTTAATACAAAGTAGTAATTTTTGTTATAATACGTTTGTTTTTTCAGACTGCTGAGAAATACTATGTAAGAGCTGATATGCCAAGGGAAGCCATTGATATGTACACAACTGCTGGTAAATGGGAAGCAGCTCACAGAGTAAGTACAAATATTCATGTAAATATTAACAATGGTGATACTATTTGATGCATTTACTGGCCAAAAACACATTGAGTTTTTGCACTATGACTGTTTGATAGTCTAAGAGTACTATCAATTTTTCTAAAAAATACTAAATACTTCTACTTCGTTAACTGCCATATACTAAACTATTTCTTAGATAAATTTAAGAGTTCTCAGAGACGATTTCTCAGCACCAAACAAATACATTATAGTAATACTGAATACTGGTAATAAGTCAGTAGTAAGTTGTTATTATTATTATTATTAAAGTATGGTGCCAGGGATCAGTCATGTAAAACAAATCTGTCTCACTATGGTCTAATTCAAGCTCATGTTTTAATTAGTAAATTAGGCAACTTTCACTGATTAGCGAAAATAGTGAAATAAAAAAATGAAATATTGCATTTTCCAGTAATTGTGGTTTTATTTTAATCTAAATGTTTGTTTTATTCATTATTAGCTTGCAATTACTTGTATGAAGCCAGAAGATGTAGCTGTGTTGTACATCACGCAGGCACAACAAATGGAATCACAGGGCAAATTTAGAGAAGCAGAAAGGTATGCTTTCCCACTTATCATGCAGGCATCTAGAATACCCTGGTTGTACTGGGCCAGCTAACAAAATCCATACTCTATGCTGTGTATATGTCATTTCACTAATTTAAGGTATTGTTTTCTGCCAATTATAGACATCTATTGATAACAGACACAGTATTCTATTCTGGTCCGAATTCACTGTCAATGGTTGCCGGGGTATTTATGATAATCTTTGGTACAGCATGGCATTCATGTAACATGTCATTATTTTCACATTGGCACCACATATTTATTGCATTAGGGTTGTGTATTTATAGCTTTTTTTGTCATCTATTGATCACATGTGGGTCACCTGAAAATTAATTTTTTTTTTATTGAAAAATAAAATTACTATGGCTAAGCTTGACTATTTGATCTCAGTGTACTGCCATAAAATGCACGTTCAAAATGTATGATATGTGTGCAACCATTTGGTGTTGTTAATGCCACAAATGAGCATGAATGAGTGATCATTGGGCGATGCAAAAATGATACATATGCCAATGTGAAGGATTATATGTCATATAATTTTTTCTTAGACTGTACATTACTGTTGAAGAGCCGGACATGGCTATTACTATGTATAAGAAACAGCGCCAATATGACCACATGGTACGCCTGGTAAAACATTACCACCCAGATCTTCTTGGAGATACGCACCTGCATTTAGCCAAGGTGAGACTTCATATCTTGATTCAAGAATATAAACAATATAAAGATTGAAATAAGTACTGTATTGCATGAATAAATAATTATTATTAGAAGTGGCTCAATTGTTGAAAGAAAAACTCTACATTTGATGAGATTGAATTATTTAGTAGGTTTCAGTTGGTAGTAATGTGATTGCAGAATTAAAGATGTAACTGGAGTAATTTCAAACGGAGAAAACATGAAAACTCCAAAAAATCTAATTTAAAATGAATAAGAAGAAACTACTGAGTGGATTGATAGCATCAGAATTTCTAAACAAAAATAAAAACATATCAATTTAGCAGAAAGTAAAAGGATTTTACAGTATGTTAGGTTAAAAAAAACTATCTGTAATATAAATGTCAACTTTTGAACTTGAAATGCTATTTGAAGTACGTTTCTAACATATTTAATTTATGTTTGACAGGAGCTTGAGAGTGAGACAAGTCTAAGACAAGCTGAGCATCATTACACAGAAGCTGGTGACTGGAAAGCTGCAGTTAATATGTACAGAGTGCATGACATGTGGGATGAATCCTATAGGGTTAGTATTCAAGCACACATATATTTTACAGCAAGTTTTAGAAGTATTGGAAAAGCAAGCTGGAAACTAGCTTGTGAATTGGCTGGCAGCTTGGGATTCATGTTTTATATATCGTAGAATGGTGTATAAATTGGTAGAAAAACTGAAAACATTGATTCCAGAGATTCAAGAAAATATTCTCACAGAATTAATTTAAAAAAGCATTTACAGGTTTACCTTATTTACTTGTATGTGTGTACTGGTAGTATTAGCTTCACTTACGATTAACTCGTTGTCTTTGCAATCTGGTCATCACTGACTTGTCCCTGATATATTTACCTGTAAATATCATGTCACATGTCACGTTGGGTTTGCCTCACTCATGCTTAGTACCATTGTCAGATATACATTTAATATAATCCTAATCTACTTGCAGGTAGCCAAGGCCCATGGTGGAGTGACTGCAGCAAAACAGGTCGCCTATCTATGGGCTAAAAACCTGGGAGGAGATTCTGCTGTCAAATTACTCAATAGGTTTGGGTTATTGGAAGCTGCTATTGATTATGCTGCTGAAAATTGGTAAGTTGGATACACAAACAGGGATTGAATATTATTATTCAGGGGTGGAGTGACTGCAGCAAAACAGGTAGCCTATCTATGGGCTAAAAACCTGGGAGGAGATTCTGCTGTCAAATTACTCAATAGGTTTGGGTTATTGGAAGCTGCTATTGATTATGCTGCTGAAAATTGGTAAGTTGGATACACAAACAGGGATTGAATATTATTATTCAGGGAAACCTATAACACCTCTGTAATTCAATAATAATAATTGTAGGTCACTTGCTGTTCGGTTTATAAACATTTCATCATTAACTCTTAGTTAATTACTTTGTGTGTTTCAGTGCATTTGATTTTGCGTTTGACTTAGCCAAATCTGGCATGAAGAACAAGATGCCAGATATCCAGTTGAAACATGCTATGTATCTGGAAGATGAAGGAAAGTTTGCTTTAGCAGAAGCTGAGTTCATTAAAGCTAGCAAACCTAAGGAAGCTGTACTAATGTGAGTACCGGTAGTAGTTATTCTATTGCAATCTATGAAGTGTATGAAGTGATTTGATAATTACAGACTAACAGCATACTATGTGAAGTATAAGGCCCAAACAATTGGAACCTAGCGTTTCTGGTTTAAGTTGATCAGAAACATGTTTGTTATCAAACGTATATCAACATCAGGCTAGTGTGATTTCTTGTGTAATCATCGTAAACCATGTTATAATCATTGTTTACATTGTCTCTGACTTTCTTCGAGTCAGCGTGTGTTACATGTGGCTCATTTAATTAAAAATTTAAATGTTGTTGCTATCCTATTGTCAAAGTGCACTGTATTCCAGTACACCATGTATTGGTGTCATGTCTCACTACTTATCTTGTTATGATTGATAGGTACGTACACAACCAAGACTGGGATTCAGCACAACGAGTGGCAGAACAATATGATCCAGACAGCGTCTCTGATGTGTTAGTAGGACAAGCAAGATTTGCATTTGAACAGAAGGAATTCCAGAAAGCTGAGGCATTTTTATTACGTGCACAACGTCCTGAACTGGCAATCAAGTACTATAAGGTTAGATGAGCTTGATATTTTTTAGGTTGTTTTATTTAATGAATGACTAGAATGATCTCATTCATACATTTAGGGTTGACTGATACTATTGCACACTTGCCATGATTTTTTTTAAATACATTTTACACAGAGCTTTTGACTTGGCACACTTTATAAAGCCACTAAATTAAATCAATGTGAACATGTAAAATAACAAAAGATCTCATTGTTTGATCTTCTAATACCCAGTGAATATGCTCAAAATATCAAAATAGTGACAATAAAAGGTTTTAGAGTAGTATATCATTTTGATCTTGTGTTTTCATTTCTGTAGAATGCAGAAATGTGGCAAGATGCCCTGAGAGTGTGTAAAGAATACATACCAAATAAATTAGAAGCTTTACAAGACGAGTATGAAAGAGAAGTTTTATCAAGAGGAACAAAGTAAGATTGTTTATTTAATTTTTCTGTCTTTCCAGTCATGTTCCTTTCAGATTATTAGATGTTACATTACTTCATTGCCATTATAATAAATATATATCATCTACAATACTGTAAAAGACTTTTCGCTGAAAATACTTTTTCTGCATTTTGTATGGAATTCCAAGCAAAAATAAAGTATTTTACAGTATTTTGAAAGATAAACTCACCACCCATGCTTACTAGTGAAAAAGAAAAGACAATGATAGTGTTAAAATGATTTTACTATAGTCATAAACTTCCTCATAATGAAGCCACTCTGCAGTCGGGAAGTCAACTCAGGGGGTTGTACGTGTATAATGTACAGTATCTAATTGCACTGTTGTATGGACGTTAATATTAACCTAATATTATGTGTTTATCACCACAGAGGAGCAGAATCACTGATTAGCCAAGCTAGAGAATGGGAAGCATCTGGTGAATATACTAGAGCCATCGATTGTTACCTGAAAGTCACTCCTAAACAAACATCAGATGGTCATCTACTAGAACAAAGCTGGACTAAGGTAGTTAATTCCTTCCATCCTATGACAGGAATAAAATTCCTGTCATAAAAATAAAAAAAAAATTAAAAGGAGATTTTGTAGGAGATTGGCTAGATGATCCAGCTGAATGCTTTGATGCAATTTAAAATTAAAATAAATAATTCTTTCATAATTTTAATCAGTGCAAGGCACTTTCAGAAGTCTTGGCCTTGGGTGCCTTTAAAAAACACATACATCCTATGTATTGTAGATCACCACAACAATGATATTCTAAAAATTGATTCAAAATATTGTCCAGATTGCAATGTCAATTGTTTGTATGAAGTTCTTTACATTTTGTGATACTGTGAAAGGATTAATTATTCACTGGGTTTTAATTTTGCTTATTTCGCCGATTAAAAAATGCACTAAATCAAAACCCAGTGAATATGTAAAATTTAGCATAGAACACATTATCTAAATGATAAAACCGTGAATTTAAAATCCACTGAATATGCCTGAAATGGTAAATCATGAAAATTTAAATCCATTGAAAACTAGTCATTTTACAGTAGTGCTTACAAATACAAACTCTCGTTACTATCTTGTACAGGCTGCAGAGTTGTCAGCCAAATTCATGGGAGTGCGCAAAGCCATGGAAGTCACTAAGTTAGTTTGTCCAAGACTGATAGAGGTGGGAAGATTCAGTGCTGCAGCTGAATTGTATCTGAGTGCTGACATGATTAAAGAAGCCATAGAAACATTCATTGAAGGAGAAGAGTGGGATAAAGCTAAGAGAGTTGCCAAGGAAATGGATCCCAGATATGAGAGATATGTTGATGAGAAATATAAAGAATTTCTCAAGGATCAAGGAAAAGCTGAATCGGTATGATTTATTTAGTCTCATTCCCTGCTTCCAACACTGTTTCACATTTTTTTTTCATAAAAATCTCATTGTACATTCTTTCTAGAAAGTATGTGCAGATTGAAAGGAGTCTGATTGACACAAGGCCTGCTGACACCATTTTTTCCCCTTTAATTCTCTAACTAGGTGTTGTGTAGGTGTTTCAGCAGGAGATGTGTTAATCATAAAAAAAAACAAAAAAAAAAACAGTTTTATGGTTAAAGAGAAACTTTAAAGTTTATAATATAATATACACCATGTTTACTTGAAGTATGTAGTATTTACTGGTACATCTCATTTTGGTCATGAAAACTGCTGAATCTTGTGCACATGTTTCCTCACCACAATGGTGCTGAGAATTCCAAGTGATTCAATATTATAATTCATATTTTGTTAAACCAGCTGATTGCTGTTGATGTTATCGCTGCACTGGACATGTATGTGAACCGTGGACAATGGGACAAGTGTATTGAAAATGCAGAGAAACAAGGATATAAAGTCTTGCATAAATACGTAGCTCTGTACGCAACTCATTTGATTAAAGAAAACAATATCCAGAAGGCTTTGGATTTGTATGTGAGTCATGGAGCTCCGGCTAACCAACAGGTAAGTTCTTTTATGTCATTACACAATGACAGAGCTGTGTCTATGGTCAAAATATTTGTATGATCTAGTTTAAAGCGCGGTGTTCGTCGTGCAGCGCGTGTTCGAATTTCATGTAAATAAACAATGTATTTTACACATGTTGTATACGTCGTTATGAGTCCCATATCGAATAGAACGTGGTGCGATGACCTTTAAAATAAGTCCAGCTGTCATTGAAGTCGAGCAGCGATATTCATATTGTTGATTGTCCGTTCTCGGTGTCAACTTTACATTTTCAACTTCTTTGTAAAAAACTATTAGTCATGTAGCTTTGATATTTTCAGGAAGGTACCTTGGGTGGTTCTTTCTACAATCACTTCTTTAATTGTTGTAAAACTTCTTTCAGATTAATTCATTTTGTGACGATATTTTCAATCCAACTCTTTTATACCAGTATTGTGGATCAGATTATTTTCAGACTAGGCCTCACAAACTATATCAGTCGACAGTATAGTTTAGGCTGAGAAAAAAAATATCTCTGTTTCTCGTTTCCGCGCGCATCATTTTGAACTATGCGCCTCAGACGTTTTTTTCCTTCTAGAGCATTCCAAAATGCGTTTGTACTCGCACTTGTCTCAAATTTCCCCTGTTTTAGCCTCGCTGCATCATTTTGAAATTTACATGAAACAAGAAACAGAGAATTTTTTTCCTAGCCTGTTATGCTTCTTCTAGGACAAATAATGTGTACCACTGGCAATATGGTATTTGTTGCATAAGACCCGTGGTTAGATTCCTACCTGGAGTCGAACGCCAAAAAAGAGGTCATTTCCTCTACTGGGAGAGTACTAGATGTGTAATAATGCATATTTATCATACATATACATATCATTTTGTATTTAATTTTATCAAATATGGATGTCAAGTAGGTTTGAATCCAACTACAAGTACTTCGGTTCTCAGGAATGACTGGGAAAATTTCAATCAAACTGTATTATTTTGTTTGTTCAATTCAAAGTGGCTCCTGGTGGCCAGTCTTTTTCTTTCAGTATGTCCCTGCCTACATGTATTTCTCTGAATTAATATAACTGTATCTAACCTTTACCTTTAAGCTTAACCCAAGTGACTTTGTTTGATTCAAAATATCCAATTCCCTAAAATTATTCACAGTACCATGTCATTCTCAAGTGTAATGTGTTAATAAATATTAACATTGATTTGTCATACACTGATCTTATACATTAATTACTCCAATCATTGTGAACATAAATAATCAGTATATGGTGTGTACATTGTAATCCTGTTTCAGTCAGATCCTTCAAATATTACTTTGTATAATTTCTGAAGTGTCCCCGCTTGGCATAATTTATTGTTAACACAGATAGCTGTCTGTTCAATGCTATATTCATGCTATATTCTACAAATGAAAAACATTCATTCGGCAGTGTGCATAGACTTTACTTTAGATTGTTTTCAAATTGTTAGTACTATAGGGTGTCTTTTTAGTCCCCGTTCGAATGCAGTTCGAAAACGAGGACTTATGTTTTGATCTCCATGTGTCCATGCGTGTGTGCGTCCGTCCGTCCGGACCTGCATCTTAGAAATGCCTGGACCAATCACAATCAAACTTCACACATACATCATACATGATATTATACATATGCACGTCAATTTCTTTCACGATCTGATTCAAGATGGCCGAATGGCAGCCATTTTTGTGCTAAAAATAAAACATTTTTCAGCTGTTTACAGATGGGTCTTGTTCAAACCTTGTATATATGTTGGACATTATAGGACCTTGATGCACATCATTTTGTTTTACGATCTGATTCAAGGTGGCCGAATGGCGGCCATTTTTGTGCAAAAAAAATCCTAAAAATCAAGCATTTCTCGGCTGTTTACAGATGGATTCTGTGGTATATACATTAGACACTATGGGACCTTGATGCAAATAATTTTGTTTTTCAGATAAGATTCAAAATGGCCGACTGGCGGCCATTTTGTTTTAATGAATGTGGTTCTCATGCCATATCTCTGACTTGCTTTCACTGATTATTTTCAAATATTAAATATTCATTATACATCATGTCATAGATGTAGATGTCACCAGATATATTGGTTTGACGATCCTATTCAAAATGGCCAAATGGTGGTCATTTTTGTGCTAATAATCATCAAATATCAAGCATTTCTGGCATTTATGGATCGATTTCGTTCAAACTTGGTACATACATTAGACATTACAGGTTCTTGATGCACGTCATTTTATTTTTCAGATTGGTTTCAAAATGGCTGACTGGCGGCCATTTTGTTTTAATGAATGGGCTTTTAGACCCATATTTCCGACTTGTTTTGACTGATTATATATTCAAATTTTATATATTCATTATACATCATGTCATATATATATACATGTATTCAAAATGGCTGATTTTGAATGCTGTTCCAGAGCAATATCTCTCAATATGGACAAGTACTTGTTTGACGATCAGATACAAATGTCAATCATTTTAATATTAAAAAATCATATTCCTGACATGATTATATTCCAGCTATATTACTATAAACAAAACTATATATCTTAAATTTGATAACTAACAGGAACTGTGGCATGCATGGCTTGTTTTATCTTGTATGCTTTCAATTTTTTTCTATTTATAGAACTTTAATATCTACAAGCGTATCTGCATGGAGCTGTTTTCAGCACCGGACACAGACAAACCTGAAACATACAAAATATGGGCTGGTCTCCGAGATATGCTGTTGGATTTGGTAAGTTTCTTTTATTCTACCTGAATATTATGTCTTCCTTGGATCAGAATTGTATGTGTAAAACTAAGGTACAGTAAACATGTGTGAACTGGAAATCTTATATAAAAAATGCTCTCTATAAAGCCAATCAAATTTTCTCTGTTCACTCAGTTTTCACTGTTGCTGTGAAATCAATTTTCAATTGCAATAAGTCAGTAGTTTTACTAATCAATTTTTTTTTTCTTTTCAGACTGAGAATTTAGCAAAGTCATCTGAAGCCAAGAGCCCACAGCATGAAGAATTTGAGACGTTGTTGCTGATAGCGCATTATTATGCATGCAGATCGGCATGTCTTGGTCAACAGGCTTTGGTTAGTACTGTAACTTATGGGGAGAGTTTGAGGAAACTGCAACATATTATGAACAAACTTATTGTAAGACAACAAGTCACAGTAGTTATCACTAAATATTGCCATCAAATTATAATACCGTTATTGCAAAAATACAAGGTTACAGATGTAGATGTCAAAAATAAGAACAGGGTAAAAAACACTGAGTTCTGTGCTACTGTGCACTTATTGCATGCATGACTGGTAAATTAGTCAATACTGATCAATCATCAGGCCATTGTTGCTCCTAAAATAAATCTGTATGAAGAATGTAAACAGTAATCATGAAAATAGACCAAATAAATACATAATTATATAGTGAGTTTGGTGTGAGGCCGACCTTCCTGATACAGTGATGCTAATTTGACCCAGTATTCAAATTGTAATACTGTGGAATATTTTATTTTCGCTGGAATTTATTTTCGCTGAAAAGGCTTTTAGGCTTGGAATTTATTTTCACTGATTTTTGATGAGATTAATGTAAAATATAGGAAAAAATGTATATTCGCTGGATTGTATTTTCACGGAATCATCCCTTCAGCGAAAAATAGCGAAAATAAATTCCAAGCGAAAATAAAGTATTCTACAGTACATGTTTTGGACTTCTGTGTACAGAACACAAAGAGAGGCTATGTCATGCCAATGTCTGTATGTATGCGTGGATGGATAGATGGATTTATCAATCCTTGTTTCACCTATATCTCAACAACCACTGGATGGTTTGGCATTTAATTTTGTTGTCAAATACTTTGTGATGAACTCAGGCCTGATTAGATTATGGTACAAATCTATGCATATTAATTATAATAATAATTATATAATAATTTGCATTTATATAATAATTATAATAATTTGCATCGTAATTAACTAACTTCAGCATCTTAATAGTAGTTTGTAGTAGTTTGCTCAAATTAGTTAAAACTTAGTATATGGATATTTTTTGTGTAGTTGAATGTTGAATACAACCTAATAATTAATCTGTGTGTGTTAATTTTTGCATACTAATTAACTGCTTTCTGAATATTTTGTTAATATCAGTTTGGTCAATTGTGCATGTTTTGTAATTGAATGCCTAACGCTAATTAATTAAACCGCATAATGTTAATTAGCTAATTTGTAGAGTCAAATAAATCAGCTTTAAAATAATCTATAAGCAACAGAAGTGGTTGTATGTCATCAGTTGTTGGTATTAAATATATTGAATTTATTTCACATGGCAGCTCTTTATATCATCTCTAGTTTATCAATATTTATGCATATAGTACTGTGATTAGTGAGGAGTATACTCTGCATAATACCTTAAAATCTGTATTAGAAGCTGCATTACTTACAGAAGTTGTACCCATTCTTTTTGAATAATTGAGAACCACAAAAATTCATCATTTCTCATAGAAGTCTCAAATTTAATTAATTGGAATTATATTTTTGGGTATGTAGCTTAACAATAATATAAATTCATTTTTCATTTCCTACAGGAGACACTGTCTGCTAAATTGTCTATATCTTTATTACGTCATACTGAAATCATTCCAGCGGATAAAGCGTTCTATGAAGCAGGCATTGCAGCTAAAAGAGAAGGATTGGACAACATGGCATTTGTGTTTCTCAATAGATACTTGGACTTGACTGAGGTGAGAATGGACTTGTAAATAATTGAAAGTAATAAACATACAGTAGACTATCCACTCCCCCATTCTTCCCTGTGTTGTATATGTCATATACATACACACACAACATTCCCCCATCAGAAATAATGGTCCATCCCTACATTGTTGTTTCATGTAATTTTCAATTCCATATGTGTATCGTATTTTCTCTTAGTAGTGCATGCACTCAACTATTGACAAAAATGAGTAGGTGGTCAAAATAAGTTGTTTTTAAATTTTCTCGCATACAAAAATTACATGTGATTCAGCTGGAGATGTGCTTTTTAAAGATCAAATATACCAGTTCACGCATTGTTCACCCAAAGTGCTGGTAAAAGAGAAGATTTTCTAAAATTAAGAACATGGATTTATTTTGACCTTTTCAGTTTCCAGTAGTATCAAAATATTTAATATAACAGTAAATCAGCACAAGGTATTGCTCTGCATGCAGTCCACACAGTGATGACATGATGTATATAATATATACATTGAAAAGAAGGTTATTATGCCAATGGTTCATTCCCCAGTGTGTTCAGAGATAGACAATATTAGTCTAGCTGAGTTTTATAAATGCTGACCTAGAATTATAGGGAAATGTAGTGTAATGAGATCATGGTGGAAATCAAATAATTGCTGTGTGTAATTAAAACATGCGCACAACAAACATAATTTTTTTCATTCAGGGGCAGGGGAGGTGAAGATGATTTCGATTTCTGTTTTCACAAAACATTTGTTAATGGTAGATGAGAAGAGGGTTCTATTTTAAATGAATAAATTATGTTTGCTGTGTGCATGTTTTAATTATTCACACCCCTAACTGTGTCAGAGTTCTTCCATTACAAGTAATTTACTTGCTGCATTTAAAAAAAAGTAGGAAAAACTTGGTGTAATTCCCAGGATTGCCAGCTTTCCCTTCAAGCATTTTACAAAGCATTGCTTGGCCACATGCAAATTAAATAACAATATACAAATTAATTACCATGTGTTTGCATTTTGCTGATGAGAACACTATGTATTATACAGGCATTGTTTATGACTACTGATCAGTAAGAATAATATTTTTTTCTTTATTTTGTTTGCAGGCAATTGAGGAAGGTTCCTTAGACATGTTAGATAATAGTGATTTCCAAGAAACTGATATACCATTTGAAGTCCCATTACCAGAAAGACAACTAGTATCAGTAAGTATCGACCTCAAGAACATAGTAGAACTAAGATTATTCTCACGATACTGGGAACGCCTCTCACTAAATTAATAATCATTTATTTAGGATTTTATTTTTCATTAAGTACAGTTGAAACAAACTTTAAGGCTTGTTTATCTTCAAATGTTAACAAAATCTGATCATTGTAACAGTTTTGATACCAGGAATAGTTTGACTAGATTTTTTGATAATTAATCTCTTATTATCTTAATCTCTATCAGGAGGATAAGAAAGAAGAAGTTAAAGAATGGGTGTTGGCTGTATCTATGGATCAGAAAGTAGAACAGATCTTGGACATGGATGAGAGAGACACATATGTAGGATCTTTAGTAGCTCTCAATACAGGCATTAGATCACTGCCATGTGTCATATCAGGTAATTTCACCTCAGGTGGTATAGTGTCACCAATGTCTTGTTACTCTCAATACAGGCATTAGATCACTGCCATGTGTCTTATCAAGTAATTTCACCTCAGGTGGTATAGTGCCACCAATGTCATGTTACTCTCAATACAGGCATTAGATCACTGCTATGTGTCATATCAGGTAATTTCACCTCAGGTGCTATAGTGCCGCCAATGTCATGTTACTCTCAATATAGGCATTAGATCACTGCCATGTGTCATATCAGGTAATTTCACCTCAGGTGGTATAGTGGCACCAATGTCTTGTTACTCTCAATACAGGCATTAGATTACTGCCATGTGTCATATCAGGTAATTTCACCTCAGGTGGTATAGTGTCACCAATGTCTTGTTACTCTCAATACAGGCATTAGATCACTGCCATGTGTCATATCAGGTAATTTCACCTCAGGTGGTATAGTGCCACCAATGTCATGTTACTCTCAATACAGGCATTAGATCACTGCCATGTGTCATATCAGGTAATTTCACCTCAGGTGGTATAGTGGCACCAATGTCATGTTACTCTCAATACAGGCATTAGATCACTGCCATGTGTCATATCAGGTAATTTAACCTCAGATGGTATAGTGTCACAATGTCTTGTTACTTTCAATACAGACATTAGATCACTGCCATGTGTCATATCAGGTAATTTCACCTCAGGTGGTATAGTGGCACCAATGTCATGTTACTCTCAATATAGGCATTAGATCACTGCCATGTGTCATATCAGGTAATTTCACCTCAGATGGTATAGTGCCACCAATGTCATGTTACTCTCAATACAGACATTTAGATCACTGCCATGTGTCATATCAGGTAATTTCACCTCAGGTGGTATAGTGCCACCAATGTCATGTTACTCTCAATATAGGCATTAGATCACTGCTATGTGTCATATCAGGTAATTTCACCTCAGGTGCTATAGTGCCACCAATGTCACATTGTGTGCTTTGCACATATAATTGCCTGGTATTGATGGATGATATGCCATGTAAATGTCATCAAATATTGACCTAAGGGCTGGCTTCAAGGGAAGCAAAATACTCTCCATTCATTGTCAGTTTAAATGCAGGATGTTGGAAAACCAGATCATGTGATCTCTGGATGCTTAGCATGTCTGTGCAGCATGAAGAGATTGCGGGCTTGACTCCTGTTGTCGGCTACCCACTGAGCAGCAATATATAATATGTACCGGTATATACAGCTGACTTGACAGACATATGACATTCATAGTTAGGAGAACAGCATCCAGTTGTAGGGGACGTAAAACTGTCTGTCACATGTGCAATTATTGTTCTCTACACATGAAACATCACTGTATCCTTGTAGTAGTGAGTAGTGGATTAAGTTTCTCTCAATTGAGCCCACTTAGATACACGTACTAGCTACCAAATAACAAAAAAAATTATCTTGTATTTGTCAAAAGGCTATCCTGTGCTCCGTAATAAGTTAGAATTCAAACGACCTGGAAAGGCAGCTAATAAAGATGACTGGAATAAATTCCTGATGGCCACTAAGGTAAGACTGGAAGGAATAAAATAAATGTTGGTGTTCATGATAATTATGTTGCATAATGGCATAATGTTGCACAACTAAAAAACAGCTTTAAGTTGACTTTACTAAACCTAACAAAGCCAATTGAAGTTAATGGTAAAGCTCATATGATATTATCATTTTATGCTGGGAGCATACTTTTATACTTTCCAGAGTTACAAATCAAGTATGGTGATGTGATTGATAGACTCTGTACTATATTAACTTTTTCACCACCAGTTTCCTCTTTCCATCACAAATTTACAAAATAGTCTGGTTTATAGTCTGTTCCTTCAGAACATTGGGACAATAATAGCTAAATTTTTTGAGTAAAAACTGAAAATTGACTCAAATTTTGTCTGTTGGCCCCAAAATTAGGGTTTATTTCAAGAAATATTGAAGAATATAAGAAAAAAGTGCAGAACAATTACTACTATATTTACACTGTATAATCAAAGACTGTTCTATTTATTTCAGATGTCTCATAGTTCAGAATGTCAAGATGTATTGAAGTTTATTGGACAATGGTGTGGTGCTACCCCCAGTCCTAGCTATTCATTCCAATAACTCTTCATGGCATAAACACTATCCGTCCTAGTCTGTTTACATCCTCCAAATACAAGAGTGTCTTTCCCTTGTCTACAAATGATCAAATTTGTAATTTGTTAAAAAATCTTTGTAGTGTCATTTCAATCCTACACAAGATTTGTTTTGAATGAAAACAAAAATCAGAATTTTTTTTTACAATTGCTATTGAGTATTTTGAGATTTGGAAATCTAAACTGAATAACTAATTCTGGGGGGAAAAAAACATGTTTTGCACTATTTTTTCAGCAAAAAGGTTAGTTTTGGTGGTCAGGCTAACAATAATACAAAACATAGAATTTAATAACTGTCTCCTGTTTGTAGTTTATTCAAGGATAACTCAACCAATATCAAGGTGTGATAGTGATATTAATTAAGAGTAGTTTGTAAAACTCAGCATGTTATCTTTTCTTAACAGTCTATTAAAACATCTAACAAACTTGAACACCTTCAGAGCTCAAAATTTGACGCAATTTTGCATGCCGTTTTGTTAAATCATAATGCTATGGGGGAGCAATAACATCCTGGTTTACCTGTAAAAAAAATGAAGCTTAGTACTCGTTTTTTCTCTGGACCACAGTCTTAATTATTTTCTGAATGAATAACTGACATCCTCCTTTGACTCAATGAAATCTCCTAATTTTAGGTGCAACATTTCAATGTGTTTTTCTATAATTTTGTTGTTGATTTTGGACCAAATGAAAATAATTTCTCATTAGCTAGAGGAATTGATCAACATTTTCGGCGAAAAAAATTCTGTTTTATGAAGGTGGTGAAACAAATAGTTGTTTAATATGAGTACTGTAAAATCTGTATTAGAAACCGCGGCTTCTATTAAAATGGTACAATGCAACAGAGGGGATGCGGCTTCTAATAGAGTATCTACACATATGAGAAATGATGAATTTTTGGTTCTCAATTATTCAAAAAAAATGGGTGCGACTTCTATTAGGGATGCGGCTTCTAATACAGATTTTACGGTACATTCATTTTGCTATTTGCATCTATCAGGTACACACTATTTGGGTTGGGTAGCATAATAGTATTCTGATGTGCTAAAGACTTGTTAACCGATTGATCTTGATACAATAGTTGTTTTACATATTCAAGTGACTCTTTAAATATTGCTGTTGCTAAGGGGTGGATTATCATTAAAATAAACACATGGATCACCCAAGTTATTTATAATTGGTTTCTCAAAAATTTCCTTTTTTTCTCTTATTCATTTCAACAGTGTTGTACAAATCTCTATACTAGTTCTTTTCAAATTTTTACATACTTCTGTGTACAGTTCCACTTTTCATGCTGTCCGTTTTTTTTTTTTGTATCGCATGTACAATGTTTTACAGACTCGTGTCTGTTTCTAGTCCGTCCGTTTCTAGCCAGTCTTTTGTAGTTTCTCACATGCAGTATGAAATTAACTTTTACCCTTACCCCTAACCCCCCCATGTGTCAGTTTTGATGATCGCCCCCCCCCCAATGATGTATATTTCTTGTATGTAATAAAACATCTTTAGATATGTGATTGTGTACCGTTGTACCATTTTGTTTAGTGTAGGCGCCCTCTAGTGACAGCTTTTATGTGACATGAACAGGTGTTTCACTGATATCTGTAATTGTTAATCAATAAATGTTTTGAATGATTTATTACAATCGTAATGATGAACTACATTGCTTACACCTGTGTTCGTTATTTTGATATCACAAGTATTTCAAGAGTGGGTCTTATAGAAATGGAGTATTGAAAAAGTCAGCTGTGAAATAAACAATACAGTGGTAAAAAGTGTACTTTAAGTGAAGGGATGTTTATAAGATCTTGTTCTCATTCCCCTGTGACATAGAATTCAACACTGATGAAGACAAGGTAAACCCATCCCTATAACTAATATACCCCAATTCATACACTCTTCACAAGCATGAATTTGGGGAATCGTTCTGCAGGCATACATGTTGCACTGTTTCGAGATATACATAAATTACCTCGAATTTGGTTTCCAAGTACTCTGCTGCCCTCTATTGATGGACAATATCCGAAGACCCAACATTGACTTCTGGTCTCCACCCCACAAGAGGAATACAACTGCACAAATTTAGTTTTCATTGGTAAAAGGAGGTTACCAAAAAAAAAACGCGTTCTAGATTTTTAGTATTTGTCCTTCAGCATCTCACACATAATCTGAGCAATTATAATTCTGTAGGAGGTAACATTTCGAGATGTGATTTGTTAGATAAATACCTTTCAAAATAAACTAAATATGCAAGATGAAAATGATCAAAATTTGGAGATATGAAAAAATTTCACCATACAGATGCTAATTTTGATCATATTTTCTTGACTCAAATTTGTTTCTGATTTTCAATATTCTAATGGATTAAACAATAAGGATGACAAATTCTTCAATTAATCTCATTCAAATGTAAAATAAATAAAATGAAGACCATTTAGTGATAGTATTTATTATGAATTCATAAATTCAAATAAGACATTTCAATAAAGTTGAGATCATTACATGGTCAAAAAGAAATTGCCCAGATACCTTTTAAAACGGAAGGAAATAACCCAGTGTAAAATTCATAATAACGTAACAAGAATACCTTAAAAGAAATCCACAATTGAATAACAGGTAATTTTAAAGTATTAGAATGGAAGTGAAAATGAAGAAATATCTATTTTGCTTTTATATAATTATTTACAATTCATTGCACTGTAATTTGAACATCAGTTTTTTTACTATTTTTTTTTTTACTATTTTTTTTTTAAATATATTTGTCGTTCATAAAAGATTTGCAGTAATTAACATTGTTTCAAAAATGACAAAAACAAAACCACTTATCATTTAAAACTTTTTTCCAAAAAGGAAAACATTTTTCCTTATAATGGCAGGAAGTCATTCCCTGAAAACAATCAGTTACTGAGGCTAAGAATGAAATATTACGATATGTTTTTACTTTCCCAAACTGGAAGACCAACAAATTTGTAATAAAAACCTGTCAAATGGTACTTTTTGTAAATTGAGTGTAATTTCATTGTAATTTAATTGACAACATAATTACTCGATCCTTCTTTGGTCAAATTTTAATTCCTGTAATCTGAATACAGATACTACAAAATATTTCATTGGTCAATTCTTGGCTCTGTCTGACCATGCAGTCCCTGTAATCTGAATAATGTTGATTCTTATTCATTTGCTTTGGCTCTGTAATCTGAATAATAGCAATATTTATTTGATTTGGTCAACCATGTTCCTATAACCTGTCAAATTAAAGCTTTTAAAACAGGCCTATAATGTAAATGGTATGCCCTATTTCAATGTCTGAAATTCTAATTGGTACTGCCCAATTAGCAAACTCAGTGTAATCTTCATTGTCCTCATTGTGAAAGTTATGTGATATAAATCATTATATCCAGCAGGGGCAATCATTGATATTTTAAGTGAAATATATGCTCAATAAATTCTACCTTCTGGGCTCAAAAAGGACAAAAAAATTAGAGATAAAAAAGTTAACATAAATATAACCAAGTGCTGAAATAGCATTGCCTCCCACATCTACTGAAAATGAAACCCATCATGGAAACTCAGGATTGTATCTGTAGGGGGCATGGGTTACTATGACACAGAACAATAACTTTGTAAATTATACAAGCCCAGAAGCCAATTATAATAACGATAATACCAATAAACACACAAAAAAATATAACAAATCTTTAACCCACAGACACAAACATGAAATAATTGGCTGGGGAATAATATTAAAACATCAAATCATTCCTTCATGCATTGACATATCGAAAACAAATTGTCATAAACACCTAACCCTCTTGATTTGTAAAGGTCAATGTCCTTTTTGATATGACATACAATGTATTTATATATAGTAATTCAATAATTTCACCAGAATATTCTCAAAATGTGGCACAATTTTTGGTAAAAAATTTATTTGCTAAAATATATTGCAACTTATTTCAAAACTGTCTAGCATCTTCTCTAAGCACAGTTTAATTTAATTGATATGTTTGCAGTCTGCTCAAAATATCCAGCTTCATAAACAACTGCCGTAGTACCTTCTATTTATACTATTTCCCAAGAACAGGTTTAATAAATGTTATCATTTTCAATGAAAAATCAGTCACCATTTTCGTTAATCTTGTGACTGTCAAAGTCAACTTTTGTTACCTTCCAACAAAAAACAAAACAAAAAAACATAATTTTTTCCATATTTTTTCAAAATATCTGTACAAGATCTATATGAAATTATGGAAAAATTTATAAAAATGTGCAAAGTGTTACTTTTTTGTGAGAAAAAGTTAAAATGAAGCTTGTAACGAACAAGTTCTTTTTAATATTCATAAAACTTACCAGTTTTGGGTTTCTCGATCAAACGGCCAAGAAAAATTGAATCAATATTATTTGTTTTCTTGTTTTGGGGTCCATTCATTATAAAATATTTTTTTTTAAATATTATTATTATATTAATTTATATTCATCTTACTTTTGAGATTGAATTACGCTCTGTTAAAAGGGGAAGTGGTCTTCGTACAGTATGTGGTATATACAACACAAAGACCACTAGTGGACAGAGCAAAGATGTATAAAAGCAACAGACATTTTTTTTAAATTCACTTATTTGTTCTTTGCTTGAGAAAAAAAAATTTTAATTTAAAAAAAAAACTTTTGTGATAAGGCAGAACTGTACTACTTCCACTGTAGATATTTTTTCACTTGACAAATGTTATCCTTTCATCATTACACACATCCATCAGCAATAAACTGGACATCCCTATTTTCTTATTGTAAATTAAAATTCCCATGTAAAACATACCTCATCACACCCAACCTGGACGCATTATGGAATAACCCTCTACTGTTCAATTTAAGTAGGTCATTCCATTCTACTCATTACAGGGGTGGGAAGCCCACAACCACATAGTTTTCTGTAAACATGTGACACGCTTCTATTTAAAATACATGTACGATATATATATAATATATATATAATATATATGTAGAATAGACAACAGTGAAAATTACTTAAAAGGTGGTTTTCTCTGTTTTAAAAAAATAAGTTTTCAGTGAGATGCCTGGGTGTTTCGATTTACCCAGCACCATCAGAAAAAATCTATCCACTTTTATTTTTACACATCTCTTCTAACTTTCTTCTTTCTTTTTGTTGGTTTAGCTTCAATCCATTCTTCTGAAAGAAAAGAAAACAATCAACATCTGTATTACAATTTCCTTTAAAATGTTGTTTTCATACCAAAGATAGATTGGAACAAAGTTAAAATCTACAACTTTTCACTATACAGATAATCACTTTCAATGATAATGCTTACAATAACACTTTAATCTCGTAAGAGACAAGAGACAAGTCGGTGAAAATCTCGACATTTTGTAGCTGTGAAAATTTCATTGGTTTCCAGAGTCATCAAGTCACAGTAATTTTTGCAAAACTTGTGTCATCAAATCGTGAACCTTTGTAAGCTGTAGTTTTAAATATAGACTACAGAACAGACTGATGTCCTGTTGTAAAAAAGAACTGACGTAACAGACTTGATTGCCAAAAAACATGGGGGGATATTTAAAGTCAAATTTTCAAACTATTATGACAAGCAGACATTTCAAAAGATGATGACTGATTGGTTTATTTGATATGGAGTACAATTTGTGTAGCACTTAATATGTTATTATATCATTTTAATCCTTATCCTGCCAGTCACATGTAATTTTACATTGACTTGAACAGATAAGGATCAACACCAACACAAACTCAAATCAAATTATTTTTCTAACCTTCTGGAAGTGTTACCACTGGTGTGTCATCAGTTTTTGGAGCAGTCTCTGGCACCTCTGCAGAAGGTATTGATTTCTTCTCTATAGTATCTGCTTAAAATAAAACAAATCATGATGTAAGTGTGACTTTCATTCCATCATACAACACTGCATGTGATGTAACTCTTTGTTGTTGCAGGGAATTCTCTGACTGATTGTCCCAGTGTGGGGCATTATCTAGATAACCATGGGTCATTATCTAAATAACCATGGGGCATTATCTAGAAAACCATGGGTCATTATCTAGATAACTGTGGGGCATTATCTAGATAACCGTGGGGCATTATCTAGATAACCGTGGGGCATTATCTAGATAACCATGGGGCATTATCTAGATAACCGTGGGGCATTATCCAGATAACCGTGGGACATTATCTAGATACTGCCTGCCCACCATCGAGATACAAAATCAACACTTGTGTCAATTTGAGAGACCATGACTCTCCGAGACTACGGGTACCATGTATTTATAGAAAATCCAAGTTATGGTACGAGACAACGCCAGGAATTCAAACTAGCAACTCCAATCATCATCAAGGCCATCTCTCATCCTTTAATCTATCAAGAATTCAATATCGGTGGTCATAAATATTTATAAGTTGATTATGCAGAATAATGTCCACCTACAACATCTTTAATATGTAAATTAAACAAAGCCCGAAACATGTGTACAAATTATACCAACACAATCAGGTGATTGGCTGGTACAAACTCCAGGTTAATTGATGTATTGTCAGATAATGCATGACACAACCTTAACAAGAAAAAATTGGAAAAAGTACAATTTCAAAGTCGACTTTTGTTGCCTTTAACATAATAAACCTGTTTTTCATATTTTTTTTTTTTAATTTGTTTAAGGCTTGTGGACAATGAGAAATTATGCTCATTTGGTCTAAAATGATATGAAATTGCATAAAAGTATGCAAAATGTAGCACCTTTTTGGCAGAGAAAATCTAAGAAGTGTTAAATTCGGTATATTTGTTTGTTTTCTGGAGTTACTTACTGGGCTATTGCCAGAAATATGCACCTTCGACAAGTGTCTATATATAATGCAATATATTTACTGGTATCAATTTATGCAAAACAAAAGATTACATGCAAAACATTACATAACAATTACCTCTATCATCCTTTCTCACTGAATCTTTTGTAGGACTACTAGGGACCTTTTTCTTGGGGCTTGACTTTTCTTTCTTGTCCTGGTTAGAAGACTCTGATGGCACTTTCTTTTCAGGGGTAGATGGCACTTTTTCAGGACTTGACTTGGAAGCTTTCTTCTTTGGAGACCCACTAGCTTTTTTGGGTGATGCAGGTGTAGTTTCCTTAACTTCCTCAGCATTTATACCTTGTTTCTTCTTCAGTACTTTTTTAGAAGAATCTTCAGTTTTCTTGGTTTCTTGTTTCTCCTTCATTGGGCTTGCTTGCTCCTTCTTTGGGCTGGCCTGTTCCTTCTTGGGGCTGGCTTTCTCCTTTTTAGTGGTGGCCTGTTCTTTCTTGGGGCTGGCTTGCTCCTTTTTTGGACTGGCCTGTTCCTTTTGGGGGCTAGCTTGCACCTTTTTGGCGCTGACTTTCTCCTTCTTAGTGGTGGCTGGTTCCTTCTTGGTGCTGGCTTGCTCTTTTTTAGTGCTGGCTTGCTCTTTTTTAGTGCTGGCTTGCTCCTTTTTAGTGCTGGCTTGCTCCTTCTTAGTGTTGGCCTGCTCCTTCTTACTGCTGGCTTGCTCTTTCTTTGGACTTAATTTCTCCTTTTTGGGCAGATCCTGAAGACATAATTAATGAAAATCATTTGTTAGACGCCCCCAGGGTTTGACCAGACCCCCATACAAAAAGTTTGCTCAATCTGTTCTATACCCATGATGTATCCTTGGGAGGAAAAGATGTATAATAATAAGGTTATTATGAGGTTACCGAAAAGTATGCACTGAGACAGTATGACGTTGCATCGACCTGCGTTGTCGATACTCCCACTGTACTGTCTTTGTGCATAGTTTTCATTATCCTTGTAATAACCACATATTACTTGCACTGAGAAGTGCATGTAAAGCCAACATTGCATTTATTTATTAAAATATGATAATATTTAATAAAAGACTAAATACAATTATAGCAATTTGAAACCAGTGTAGCAATCATTTTACTTTAATCTGTAATGTTCATTACCCAGAATGATTTTTTGAAAAAATCTGACATTTCAATAATTTCGAAAAGTAGTTTTTAGATCGAATACCATTCAACATTGGTCTGAGTTTCAGTTCCTCTATTAGTAAAAGAAGCATTTAACTTGCATACAGTCTATTTATTGGTTTTTGGTGATTTTGTGAGTGTATATAAACACCGAAAGCTGGTTTACCATGAAAGCCAGGTACAATCATCATTTCTGTGGCAAGTGGCCATCTATTGTTTGTTTTGTGGACTGGCTTTCGCCATTTATACTCTCAAATATTTTATTTTATTGAAAAAAACACCAAAACACAAACAAGAGACTGTTTGCAAGTGTAAAAAAGCATATGAATGATATGTGTGTTGGTTTAATAAATTTATGAGATACATTTCAAGTATAATCATTTAGGTAGACATACTTCTAACAAAGAATCTACATTGTACATATGTACTAACCTTTCAGTATGTTTAATAAAACTGTCACAAAATATATTCATTATAATTATATTTATAGACCATTTGCATTTGTGTGGTGACATGTGTGGGCAGATTTGAATGGAAAATGTGTGTTAGCTAGACATTGGGTTGTCCATATCCACACGATGCATCAAAGATTTTTTTTTTTATGCTATGCAGATTCACAAATTTCAAAATGGTCGGCATTTGGAGTTTTAATGCTAAAATGAATGACAAGTATACAACATTGGTTGCCAAATGTACTTTGCCAAATGGTTATTATTATCAAAAAATGTGAATTATATGAGGTCATTGCAAGTTAGTACAGTAGAGTATCGAACAAACATGTACATTTGTAGCAGAGGTTGATGTGACCATGTACCAGTACTGTATTTGTACATAATCTGCAATAACCTTAAAGTGCCTGTGAAATGGCTGCTATTTTCACGCCTAAAATTATCAATTGATACAGAAATATTATTAATTTTTATGTTTCTAAGCATGAATTAATTTTTTTAAGTGAAAAAATGTGTTTTAAACTCAGTCTACGGCAACTTTATTTTTGTGTATTTTAAAACGAGGCTCCTCATTAGCTTCTCATTTGCATACAGAAATTCTCCTTGTGACGTCAGAAGGGAAAGTCGCATGGCAGCTTGCATTGCCGATACGTGTAAATAAGGCAAATTTCTTGTGCAGTTTTCTCGTCTTTGACTAAATTTTCACTTATGTACTTGTTCGTCGAGGAAGAATGGACCATAATGAACACATACCGGTAGTATAAATTGTTGTTGCATGGGGTTGAGTTAGATGAGAAATATGTCCGTTCTGGTGTAGCTGGTCACCGTGATCGTCACCGACACCGGCACACGTTTGTACACTGTTGCTGGACAAAATAGAATTTGACGTCGGAATTATCTCATTATTTAGCAGGTTACTAGGCACGTCACTACACTGTTTTATTTCATTGATTGTCTGAGTAAAACTTTCAAAATTAAAATAAAAGAGAACATATTTTAACATTCTAAACATTAGACTACAGTGATCACTATAAAATAATTAAAAAAAACGACAAATCACAGTTACTAAATAAATGACAGCCGCGTGGAAATAAATTGACATTTTGTTGAAATAGGTG